TTTTTTTTTTAATCAACTAATTGAAAGACAACTTTAAAACAAATGCAATGAGTAAATGGTAAATGTTTCGAATTTTTATACTCTTTTTGCTCAAAATAAAAACAATTTGTGTCTTGGAAGTATGAAAAAGCATCTGCGAAGTCCACAACGCAAGCGTATTCAAAAGAAACATACTGACTTTGAAGTTGTGTAAACGAAATTCATTTTAAAGTAGTTGAAATTAAATGCAGAGTCGTACAGTCGACTTGCTGCTTACGCACAATTCAAACTAAACATTTGAAAGCACATTTACATGTCTGGTTATAGCTGAGCGTGTAAAGATGTTTGCTACAATTGGTCGTAGCCAAGAATGTCCATGTTCAAATCTCATTTAATTTAAAATTTTTAATTTCGTTTTTTCTTAGTTATGAAAAAGCATCTGTGAAGTACAGGACGAAAGCGTATTTAAACGAAACATACTGACTTTGAAGTTGTTTAAGCGAAATTCATTTTAAAGTAGTTGAAAATACATGCAGGAAAAGGCAATTGACTGCTTCCTAGGACATCGCCATGTTATATAAATGAGTTCATTACAGGTACAATAGTGAGAATTTCAATTAGTTATCATTAAAAATAATGTAGTTTATAAATTACTTTCAGACTAATTCAATTTCCTGCAGGGTATGCATACATATGTACACAAGTTTGTTTGCGCATAAGCTGAATGGCAAGTTGCACAGAGCGAAGAAGTCACCCGAGAAAGAGTATGAAATTTGGACTTATCGAGTAGGCGTAAGGAAACTTAGCTAAGTCCCGATTCGAAAGGTAAAATGACTGCATCATGCATACTTACACACACACATACATATGTACATATGTTTTTCATAAACATGAATTTACATTTTGACAAATATCTAGGCAGATGCTGTTCTCGTCATGCAGCCAAACGATGTTGCATGCAACATCAATATGAGATGTGGTGGTGGCTGTATTTTTGGCCTTTTCTCCTTTTAGCTATGTTTGTTGTTAAAAAATGCTGCGGTCGCGTACCCTTTTGTAGGCGTTTTTCGTTCACTGGTACTTCGCGATAAAAAAAAATGGGTTGAAAAAGTTTTACTATTCCATTAAATGAGAAACTAATATCAGTAAATGTAACAATCGTAAAGTAAGTGTTTGGGAAGAGACTACATTTTTATATAGCGGAATTTGACTTTACACGTCACACTATGGACTGAAACGAAACCTGTGGACAGAATAAAGTATCTCCTCTTGGAATTAACTTTTTTAATTAAAGATACTAAAAACGTATATTCCAAAGGGTATGTAAAAAAAAATTAAACAAATATTCAAGGTCACTTGTAGGTCAACAAGTAAGATTTCACACGTATGAGTTGTGTACCAGTATTGTTTTTCTATTAAAAATGCTCATGTGAAACGTTTGAAGTGAAGCCTCTTTGCGTTCTGTTGGACGTAAATGTAACGGAAAAAGTAGTACACTGAGGGAAATAACACATAATAAAAATGAATATTTTTTATTTGGTTATCGTTTAAAAATGTACGCATTTAAAGATATTACTTTCATACCAAAATTTAGCGCGCAACATATTGAGTATACTCTGAGGGGGAAATATAGTAAAATCAAATAAAAACGTTTTCAAAAGTAGTGCATGTATAATGGAAGTATTCAATTCAAATACGCCCATATTAAAATTAAGCATTTTACACTTCATGGATGCTTTTTCATAATTAAGAAAGTGTACATATGTAGGTATACCAAGCATGCGCAGCGGTGACAATTGTGTTAAGACATAAGAGGCTCAGATTGAGATTTTCAGGGAATTAGATAAACGTTAATGTTAAGGTTGAGCTTAAAGTTAAGGTTAGGTTAAGGTTAGGGTTAACTTTAAAGTTAAGGTTAAGGTTAAAGGTAAAATCAAGGCAAAAAAATAACATTTACCGATTCTTTTAATAGAACTTTACTCATCCTTTTTTTTTTTTGTTGACCTACATACAAGTGACCTTGAATATTTGATTAAAACTTTTTTTCGTACAATTTGCCCGTGAAATATACATACATTTACATTTAATTAAAAAAGCAGCCAAAACAGTTAGTTCTAAACGGAGATATTTTATTTTGACCGCACGGTTTCGTTTCAGCTCACTGTGCGTTGTAGTGACGTCTAAAAATGTAACCAAGAAAACAAAGTAGAAGGTGGCAATCGAACTAATTGTTTTGTGGTTTAATGGTCAACTTAAATCTTTGTATGTATGTACTGTCGAAATATGAAGCCACAAAGGGTAGCTGTTGGTGTTCATATTTCAAACAAAACCAGAGTCATTCACTTTACCTCTTTCAAGCATTTCCGTAATTTTTTTTAATATTCTTGATGTAGTAATTATTTTAGAATAACTTAACAAGTTTCTGGGCCAAAATTAGTTTAAATTGAAAATATTTCTTCGGTAAGAAGACTAAATCAAGAAGTTCAAGGTGTTTTTAAACACTTTTTTTAATTTCTCTTCGGGGTCTATAACATGTACTCTGCCACTTAAAAGATTCGTGCAATTTTCTTGATTTTTTGCACCGTACTATTTTTATTTAGCGTCGGTGTAAAATGAGCCTTATATAATACTAAGAGAAAGTTGAAAAAATCTACTATACAATTACATTTAACTAACTTAAATTTATGGTAAAAATTCATTTATGGTTAAAATGACGTTTAGATAAAGTCTCTACGATTAGCAGAACCCGAGATATAACGATTTGAAGGAGTCCATGATTAGTCAGAATCACGAAAAATAATTCAAATTTTGACAGATCATATCACCAAAGAAAAAAGCGAAGAAAATATTCCTCGAACACGTGTTAGCTTATTTCATGTATAGAACCCATAAAAAAAATTTGAAGCCAATCGAAAGTGTGACACCAAATTTGGTCTCCGATATGAAAAAGAATGTCTCACATACATATATATTTATTAATAAGCCAACTTACTTCAATGCAGCCGGTTGAATGTTGTTTCGGACTCAAAAAGAAGGATCCATCCACGAGCGGATAGCGATCGAAAACCAACATCGGCTCCTCGCATAAAATGCATGCGACACGACTCATTTGAGACTGAGCCAAGGAAGATAGAATGAAAAGACGGGTTTCATCGTTGCCATGGTTGCCTTCGTCTTCGATCTGAAAGAAAGAATTGTGAATATTATCTATTATATTATAAAGAAACTATGTGAAATTACAAATTAGCTTCAAAAAGGATACAAAAAATGTTTGCGGTCTTACATTTCGAAAATTTCATATCTCTCAGTATTTTTGTTTTAAATTTACATATGTAAAAGTATTGGTGGACATGCTTATGTTTATGTTTTAAATTATTATGTATGTACGAATAACTCCAACACACAACTGAACTTTGATACAAATTGTTTTGGTCTTTTCTATCCTCGCATCAGAGCGTCAAAACTGCACTCGCTACAGTAGTAATAAAGGACCAAGAAGAGCATACCAGCTTCACTTAAAATCCAATTTACCTAAACCACAATGCCCGTCGAAAATACTGGCAACAATGCAGCATAACAAACAAATGAACTGTAAAGGCGAAACGTGCCGAAACAAAGTGCGCCAATCGCTCTCCTCAAACTAAAGGAGTGCTCCTAAGTCTACTGACTAACACCAAGTAAGTCAACACAAACACAACATAGACACGAGTGCACACAGTTTTCAACCTGACTAAAGGATACCTGCAAAATATACAATAATAAGGTACCGTTAAGTTATGCTAAATTGAATTCGCATAAGTAGCTGTGTGAATGAACATACGACCAACCAACACATGCACATAACGTACATACATACATACATTTGTACAATAAGGTCCTTCATCCTTCCATTACGCTTAGCCAAGGCTAGAAGCAGTATGCGAATAATGCCAATAACATCGGATTTCCCTAAAGTCTTGAATGAGCTAAAGCTGCAGACAAAGCGAATGAACGTGTTGGGAAATCCTGATTCTTTACATATGTACGTATACATACATATGTATGTATGTTCATACTTTAGTATCGCCGGCTTTGGCATAACATACTAGGTATGTATTCCCAAATTGATAATCAATAAGAATAAGACAGTGTAAGTGCATTTTTGTGGTTAATATAGTAATAGAGCAAAACAAGACTGTCACAAGATGGGTTGCACATTTACAAATATTTAGAAAAGTGTATAGAAAGTTCCGAATATCTTAAAGGAAACATATGCTTCTTCAAGTCGTATAGCCGCATTTATCTCTAAATCTAAATATTGTATGCACACGAGTGCATATTTGTGTATGTGTACACAGAATTTTGTACATCAAAGCCATATGTTGAGCGGTTGCAAGGTATTTCTGGCCCAGACTAATGCGTTTATTGACTTGAATAGACGCGCGGCTCCACACTGGAAGTGAAAGCACGAAAACAATATAATCCAAAATATAATAAAAATACATTCAGGTATCCATCAGAGCCGATTACATGAAGATTAGGAACGTTCATTACTCTATTATCGGGTGAGTGAGTATGTGACCGACGCACGTGAATTTCGATATTTCATGATATGAAAAAATTCAACAATTTAAGAGCAAATAAAGTGCTGAAGGGCTGGGACTATCCGCATATTCGAATATCCGGATATCCATGCGGATTATCCGCTGACACGAATAAAATCCGGATAGTATGGATATCCGGTTGATATTCGTTTGTGCAATTATTCGGTTATACGAATTTACGAAGATCCGGTTAATATTCGTATTTTCAGATATCCAAAAAAAAAAATCAACAAACTGATAAATAATATTCCTGAATTCAATTATGCAAACAATAGAGTGTATTAGCTCTTTGGCGGACTTGAAGTTGATCCTCTGTTTTGTATAGTTCTGTTACAATATTAACAAATGGCACTATTCTTGTTATCACTTTTTTAGAAATGCTACAATTTGGTAAAGCATTCACCACGGCCAAAAGTATCATAACAGCTTTCATCATTCCGTCCATGATCTTTTAAAGCCATGAAAAGACTCTCGCGGTGAATTTTATATATATATATATATTTTTTATTTTTACGAAACGATACTTTAATTTCCCAAAAACTGGCGCTTATGCATGCATATGAAGTAGCAAGTTTTCTATACGCATAAATTTGTTTGTTGAACTTTTTAGTTCGTTTTTATAGAAGCTTTTGAAATTCCAAAAGAATTTTGGAAATTTAAAAACTTATAACAGAACATTTACAAACGATTTTGTGCGAGAAATAGAAAACTTGTTACTACACATTTATGAGCGCCTGGTATTGAGAAGAGAGAATATCGTTTTGATAACGAAAAATCCGGATATTCGGATAGCCGAATATTATCTTAGCTGCCAGAGTAACCGGATTTTTCATTTAGGTATCCGGATATTCGAATATTCTGTGTATCCGGATAGTTGAAAAATCCGGATGACGTTCCCAGCCCTAGTACTGAGAATGCATCGTGGAAAAATAACCACCTCACTGAGAAAAGAGCACAACTGGCGTGTGGGGACACTTGAATGGCCATATACCGTACCTGTCAACCCTCTACGCGGAGGGACTCCCAACATACCCGCTGGCACGACTAACAACAAAACTCTCATCAAGAATCCATACAACACAGTTAACAGAAGTCCCACCTTCTGTAAGGCCCCAACGAGACCGCAAGGCTTCATCTAGCATCCTTAAGAGGTTTGAGACCATACCCGCGACTCTTTGGCGAACTGGCAAACATAAGACGTACTATAGAACCAGCTGTCCGAACATACTCAGCTAAACTAAGGTAGAAGAACCTTCAATCCCACTGCTTGAAGTAGTTTTTATTACTTATGTGGACCGAAAGAAATTGTCTTTTCACAAGACACCGCAAATGTGGGTTTAAATCGGCCATTTTAGGATGATTCAATATACTTCGTTAGATAATTTGCATTCTACGCAATTACGAACTCATACATGCACATCACAACAAATAAAAGCAAGAATCAGTACTAAACACACTTGCGTACGAGGACTATGTACATATGTATATAAGGATATATCGCGTACGATCTTCAAAAGTGACACAACTCAAAATCACAGGTTCGTCTGAAAATGTGAAAAATAATTTCCTAGCACATGGTGCAAATGGGACTTCACCTTAAGTTTTTTCCCCAAAATAATAACAAAAATTTGCTCTAGCCTTTGCTGAAAGATAAATAAAAGATTTGTGCACATTTTTAGTGCATAATTCCAAAAATGTCAAATTTTGAGTTGTGTCACTTTTGACGATCGTGCGCGATATGTCGTAAAGCAAATTCGCATTAGACAAATGGCAAACATAAAGCAGTTCTAAATAAATAGAGAATAGATAACGGAGGAAGATGAGGCTGTGAAGATGATTATTGACATTGCAGTGCGCCGCCTGCAAACAAGCAACAAATTAATATTGACTTAAACATAGACAGTGGAGAAGCTAGAAGTTAGTGGATACAGGCAAACGGCAACAATCATCAAACCAAGAAACAATAACTGAGGGAAGACGAACGTAAAAATAACACTCGAATGAAAGTAAAACAATAAATTCGATTAATGAACGTTTGCACTAATTTTGAGATTGGGCAAAAGTATAGTAAAATTACAGGGAAGATAAAATAAATTGTATGCCTGCTCGATAATATGTAGATACATATAAATACGTTTTGTTGGCATTGAATGGACAAAATATAGCACATCGCAAATAAAATACTTAAATAAAGCAAAGCCAAGCAGCTATGGGCAAAGTAGGCGTGGTTGTTGACAGCATTTGAGTATGAGTATTTGCGCTATTGTTCCAAGATATGTACATATATATCATCTATCCTTTATTTGTTGTTGCTTGATGGCGCTGATATTGCCGCTTGAAAGAGGTTTCAATAGATTAAGTGATTTCTATACCGAAAGCACAAAAGGAGAGTAAATAAAGCGATAAGGAGAGCGAGCAACCAGCAAAACGAAACAATAAAAATAAATATTTGCCCAAAATGTGAACTGGCGATGCGCTGCTGCTGTACGGTGCGACGGAGGGCGCGAAGGATAATAGGATACAATACATAACCATTGAGGAATTGTCGAAAACACCGCAGCTGAAAAGTAATATGCGCATCTAACGAAGTCTTCATGTGTCGTTCTGCTTCAGCAAACAGCGATGCTGTAGATTTAAATGAAAACGAAAATGAAAATAAAAATAAAAGGAAACAATAGAAAATAGTTGTTACATACTTCCATACAATTGTATTTGTTTTCGGGACATGCAGACGGACCCTTGAGGGATGCATTATGGTTGGTTTAAAAAAATGCACTTTCCCGCCTTTTGGCTGCTGGGTGTTGGCTGTCAATTTCTCTTTTCTTTCCGCAGCTCATATTTTTTATTTCTGCTTTTCAGTACACACAATATTGCTTTTTAATAAACTGTCAGCGCAATTGTAGCTAGGAAATTTGCGAGGACATGAAAGGTTAACTGCACCTCTTACAAAGACTAGCTCCTGTCAGCCATGAAGTGCGTAGAGAAGTATAAAATATCCTCATACAGAGAAGAAGTAATGAGCAAACAAAATTTATGGCAGACACAAAAGCCAACTATTTAGAAAGAAAGTTGTTAATGGATTACAGTAGACAACAACAGAATAAAAGTAAAAATGTACATTTATGTGTGACTGTGTATGTTTCTGGGAGCATCGCTGTCTGGCTACATATTAGAAATACATCACAACAATGACTAAATAGTACTTAAGCGCAAAAACTATTAATCGAACTGGAAAAAATAACAACACAACAACAGTTACACATAAATTTATATTTCGACAGCTTTTGTTTAGAGGAGCGTGAAAGTGGTGTGAAAGCTCTCGAAAGGCTTTGTATAAATAATACTTAGATACATATACGATTTTGTGTATTGCAAGAGGCGGCAAAGAGCGAAAACGGAAATGAAAACAACAGGGATGAGCAGACAAAATAAAGGAGTGGCGGTGGCGGCAGAAAATTGAAATGCAATTTAATTTAATGTGTTTATGAGTATTGTTTCACATTTTGGCAATCGAGAATGAGACGTTGATTCTGGCGAATTCAGTAAAGGTTGTGTTGTAAAATGGGGAAAATGGATATGGAATGATACATTGCCATAA